CTGGGATTACAGGCACGTGCCACCATGCCCAGCTAATTTTTTGTATTTTTAGAGAGACGGGGTTTCACCATGTTGACCAGGATGGTCTCGATCTCTTGACCTCGTGATCCACCCTCCTCGGCCTCCCAAAGTGCTGGGATTACAGGCTTGAGCCACCGCGCCCGGCCAATGTTTTAATTTTCATATGAAATTATTTTAAATGATAGAGGAGAGTCAGATGTTCTTATATCTTACTACTTACTATATCATCTTTGTAAGACTGATAATAGGAAATATATAAAATTAAATATTAATTATTTAATGTAGCTAAAAATAGATAATCAGTTCCCTGGAATACTGATTATTTCACGCAGCCGTGAAATAGATAATGGTAATAACAGTAATAAGTAATACCAGCCAATGTTCATTAAACACTTAGTCTGTGCCATAGACTTATCAAAATATTGTGTATTTCCTTGTTTAATTCTTGAAAAAACTCTGTCATGTAAGAACCATTATTCAGAGAGGCAACAAGACTTGTAGGCAAACATTCTGAGGTCACATGGTTAGAAGTGGGCAGACTCTTAGGATGTGCACTGAGGCATTCTGGCTTCTGGTCAGGACACTAAATGCTGCAGTTGGCACATATGGTTTGTGCCTTGTGAGTACAGAAGACACATTGCATAGCTGTCTCACACAGGGTACCATGAAGCAGGTTCACTGTGCACTGATTACCAACTCATGTGAGTCCTGTGGGACAGAACACACTCACGTGCAACAGATTACATGAAGCAAATTTATCACTACAGGTTGGCAGCAAGGGAGTCCAGAATCCTAGGGTCCACTGTGAGCCAGCCATCCAGGGCTCAAGAAAGCTACCTGGAGCAGATGGAATCTTGACTGTATGTACCCCACTTGAACTGAGGCACCCCAGAAGGTAACCTGCCCCTGTGTATATACTTCAGGGTGCCATGACTCGTGGAAAAAACTTGAAGGACATCCTGCTTCAGGGGAGAGAGAAACAAAGCCCAGGCTGTCAAAGGCAGTTCCTCCCCATAATATTGCATTCCTAGAATAATCTACAGTTATTCTTGAGAACTACAAGCAAGAAAGGGGAGAGAACTGGGTGGGGTCTGTACCCCAACTGTCCTGCAGTCCATCCCTGACCCAGATGTCCCCCTTGGCAAACTACTCCATTTCATATGCCCATCAACCTCCTTAGGTCTGGAGGTGTTGATCGATCTTGTTAGATCAGCGTAGCACCTTGACCGACACAGTCTCTGTCGACTTCATAGAATTACAGCTGGAATACATTCAGTGGAACCCAGAGGAGCATGATTACAAGCAGCACAGCCAGACCTTCCTGAAGCCATGATCCTGCCTGGGTCCCTAAGACCCATAAGAAGCTGCTAAAGATATCAAAGAAGAATCATTCAGGTGGCCCCCAGTGTCTGAAGTTAGTAGGCCTTGTTCTGGTTTGCCTCTCATTGTGTTTTTATAATAGCTGTTTATCCAGAGAAGGCTGGAGATGTTGACAGTCACAGGCAGTCACAGATCCACTACTCCCAGTAGGACTAAAAGCACAGAACACTTGTGTTTTTTCAACCTTCCTAAGGGAGTGAAGGGATGTTGCTGGGCTCCCAAGGCAGTGGCCATAGAGGAAGCAGTATTGGCCATTGTCTGTAACAGGTGTCTCATCATTTTTTATGGGAATTAAATCATAGGAGTAGGACATAAAACCTCAAGCTAGCTACACCTTCAGGCAGGTCCCCCAGTCAGCCTGGGGCACAGCTTTAGCCTTCTTGTCCAGTGGTACATCTCGCTCCCGGGGTGACATCTATGGGTACCCCTAGCATGCCCAGTGTTCAGGATCTAACAGTCTGCCAGCTTTCCAGGCATGACATCGCCCACCCTGTATTTGGGTCACCCTCCGGACCAGCCACAGAGAAAGCCATAAGGCTCAGGTGCACACAGCACCCATTCCCTTGTTTGGCCCTTCTGTGACCCATTCGTGGGAATGGGTACATTATCTTTTGCCAGCGAGATCTCATTTTTGGCATGGTTGCATAAGCTCAGTTCCTCCGTATGATGTTCATGCAGCCCTTACAGAGAGGAATATCACTCATCTAGTTCTGGTTTTCATTATGTGAAACATTTCTCATCCCGGTAGTCAAAGGAACATCGTGCAAGAAAGCACAGTCCACTGTTGCCTTGTTGAGGTTGTGTGATTCTGCTGCCTTGCACCAGTTACCACAAGGCCCTCCAGCTCTCTCTTATGTGGCAGGTGCCAGGTCCTGACTTGACAAGCCAGGGCTTTGGAGCTGTTGGTGTGCACTGTGGTGTGAGGGATACTGGTGTGGTTTACTGTGGTTAGGACAAGAGGATCACTGTGGGTGCTGACCGAACAAATCCAGGGTAGCAGATGGAACACTTAGCTCGGTGACATGAGGTGTCTGCAGCTTGAGATTACTTAAGGAATGTGCTGTGCTCCCAGGCCTCTGCTGCCACATCCCTGGGGGAACAGCAGATTGGTAGCTGTTGGATAGGGGGTGGGCTGAGGTGGTGCAGCGACCCAGTCTGTCTGTCCCTGTTCTGAGACTGCTACTACTACAGACATCCATTCTTCTGGTTGTTTGGCCCAGACCTTCCTGCATTGTTGTTCAGTCAGGAAGGGAGGTCATGTTCTGTATGAAAAGATATTCCTGCTAGTGCCAACCACCCACATGGAAGGATCAGGTGTCCCCAGCACCACCAAAGGGCTCTGACACCCCCTACAGTATTCCATTGTCTCATTCTTCACCACTGTGGGATCCCATAGAAGTCAGGGGATGTTCAGGGAAGCATCTCCTCCAGATTACAGTCAGGAGGACCTTTGTCAGTTACTGCAGTGATCTAAGCCACAAACCAGCAACAGGATGTGCACTGTAAAGGGGAGAAGGAAAAGTAATTATTGGGAGTACTGAAACTGGGGTTTCACAGGCACAGCCTCATCAGCCAGCTGCCAGGCAAGGCAGATACTGACTGAATTCCTCACTGTTGCTGGGACAGTTAGCAAGGTTCATTGAAATCTATATAGGTGTCACCCAGGATGCAGCATTTAGACTTCTAGGGGGCTACATACAAGTACACTCAATGAGTGCACTAATAAGAACACAGGACTTCTTCATCATTGGACTTCTGATGATGCTTGGGACAATCAAGGTGTATCATTGTCAGGACACAGGACAGAATGAATGGAAATTCTGTAAGTTGTCCTACATCTCTGAAGATCCAGAAAAACTTTCAATTTTTCCCCTTGGCCTGCTCAGTGTTGCTTCTCTCCCAGTAACTAGTGGTCATGACATTGAGGTTGCATATATTTGTTGCTGTAGGAGGCAGTGACCTTCAAGGATGTGGCTGTTGTCTTCACTGAGGAGGAGCTGGGGCTGCTGGACCCTGCCCAGAGGAGGCTGTACCGAGATGTGATGCTGGAGAACTTCAGGAACCTGCTCTCAGTGGGTGAGCACAGGCATTTTCTATAAGGGAATGGCAGGCCCCAGGAGTGGCTTTGTATCCTAGGGTGTTCCCAGTTTGAGTGTGCAGTGGGAACCTAAATTTCCAGTAAATGTTACCCCAATATTACCTAGAATATGTTGGGATTAAGCACATAACTGCCTGTTCACAAGGCATCAACCGTTCAACCGAGATACTTTCTACTTTCTAAGGGAGGAAAAGTTTTGGATGATGGATATAGCAACCCAAAGAGAAGGGAATTCAGGTAAGAAACAAGCAACTGTGTGTTTTTGTTTGTGACTTCCATCTGTTTTACTTCTGTGCATGTCCAACTCTGTTACCTTGTTCTACATGGCAAACATCTTTCCTGGATTGTTGCAGCCTCCTTCCAGCTGGTGGCCCTGCTTCGTACTTTCCCACCCTGACATCTGTTCTCCTCATGGTGGCTAAAGTGATCCTTAGGACATGGAAGTCAGATTGCCATTCCTCAGCTTAAGAGCCTTTCTGTCTTCTTAATTTTTATAAAAGTTACAACGTCTTCAAGTGGATTTTAGAAACCCCTTTGGTCTCCTTTTCATTCTTCACTGCCTCTTGACTACACCTCTCATAGTCTCCCTCTTTCTCCATCTTTTCTGGCCACATTGTAATCCCTCTTGTTTCTCCATCCTGCCAAGGACACTGTATCACCTGTTGCTGGTACCGAATGGCCACAAATTTAGCCGATTAAACAAGAAGTATTTATTGTTTCTCTGTTCTCTAGGCTTGAAGTCTGACACATCTCACTGGGCAAAAATCAAGCTGTCTTAGGTCTTTGTTCCTTTCTGGCTGTTCTTGGGAAGAAGACTTCACTTTGTTTTACCAGTTCGTAGACACTGTCCGTACTCCTTGGCTCTAGTTTCCGTTTCTCCATCTTTGAAGGCAGCTGTAGTGCATCCTTGACCATCTTTCATAGTCATGCTCCCTCTGCCACTCTTCTTATGCCTCTGTCTTCCACTTTTCAGGTCCCTTGTGATTGTATTCATCTCTTGCATGATCTAAGTTGACTTTCCTACTTTCTGCTTAGCTGACTAGTGACCTCAATGATACGTGCAGCCTTAATCTGCCTTGCTGTGTAATGTATCAGGTTCATGGGTCCTGAAGATTGGATGTGGACATCCTTCAGGAATCATTATTTCCCTACTACAGAAGATTATGCCTCAGAGCCCTCACTTGCTTTTCTCTCTGTTTGGAATCCTCTGTCCCCACAAAACTTACTGACCCCCTTCGTTAGTTTATGCAGGTCTCTGCTGAGTTTTAATATCATGGGAGAGGTCATCTTCAAGCACCCTATTGAATATACCATCTTATCTTTGCTTAGCCTGCATGTATTGTATGTCGTATGCTTTTGTTTACTGGTAGATCACCTCTTCCCTTTCAAATATAATCTCTATATGGTGTTTGTTTGTTTATGACTGCATCTTCAGCTCCTAGGATAGTCCTGGTACATGGAAGGATCTGTATATATTTGTCTGTTGGAAGCCATAGGGATTTGATTTCAGGACCCCACATGGATAAGTCAGAGATACTCAAGTTTATATATGTGAAGTATTTGCCTAGAACCTATATATATCCTCCCATATACTTTAAATCATGTCTGGACAGTTATAACACCAAATGCAATGCCTACCTATCACTTCATTCACAAGGAATCAGCATAGGACTCAGCGTGTAAGAAATTCCAGTTTTGCTATTTGGAACTGGATTTTTTTCCCCAAATAATTTGTTATGCATTGTTGGTTGAATCCATGGATGCCAAACCCATTGATACGGAGGGCTGGTTATATATTGCAGAACAATTGTTGTTTTTTTTTGTCTGCAGATGGCTGCTTATCCATTTTCAAGTTTTTTCTTAGGTTTCCTTGACATGATTGGTTTTTTGTTTTGTTTTGTTTTGTTTTTTGTTTTTAAAATAACCTTTACTTTTAAAAAGTTAAGTACATTAGAGGAAACTGAAAAACACAAGAAGCAAAGAGCAAAGTCACAATCACAAGCAGTTTATAGTTTGACACATTCTTCTAGGTCCTGTGTGTCTGTAGGCACAATATCCAATTTTTTTTTTTGAGACGGAGTTTCACTTATGTTACCCAGGCTGGAGTGCAATGGCGCGATCTCGGCTCACCGCAACCTCCGCCTCCTGGGTTCAGGCAATTCTTCTGCCTCAGCCTCCTGAGTAGCTGGGATTACAGGCACGCACCACCATGCCCAGCTAATTTTTTGTATTTTTAGTAGAGACGGGGTTTCACCATGTTGAGCAGGATGATCTCGATCTCTTGACCTCGTGATCCACCCGCCTCGGCCTCCCAAAGTGCTGGGATTACAGGCTTGAGCCACCGCACCCGGCCCACAATATCCAATTTTATGGGACTGAGATTGTATAGTATGTATCATGATTTTTCACACAGACATGATTGGTTTTATGTGTGTACAGTTGACCCATGTCCTGTGGAAACTTCTAAGCATAGCGTTTTGTTTTTCATGACCACACTGAGTAAATATGCCTTCCCTGGGACCTACCCTGGAGCTTTCCATAGGGAGCATATTTACATCTGGGAAAAAAAGTCTTTTTGAATGAGGATTTCCAGCTAGCTTTCCTTTGAGAGATTTACCCATCCACAGCCCATTTGCTTTTCCAAAGTCTGCATGCACTTCACTGCACCCAGTTTCCTCCTTCCTTCCCTTAGAGGGGCAGAATGAGGATGAGAAGACACAAGTTATATAGCTGAATGTTGACTCTGTTTCTGATCATCTTTCTTCAAAAATGTGTGTATTTCCCTCATCTTTACATTATACAAATTTAGTTGTCAAAAAGTTAAAGGACACAGATTTTACAGACTTTTTCTTTATTTTTATAGATTTAATGCTATATTTTGAATTGGTAAGCTTCATGACCTGGAAGGAATTGGGGAATTACTTTCTCAAAATAGAAACATCCTGAGAGACCTTCCCTTATCCTGAAAGACCTCTTATTTATGAATCACAGTGTATTAAATATATCCATTTACAGATGAGACCTGATTGTCCCCTTGACTCTCTTTGTGGGTGGGAACTGGAGGGTTTGTTTCACTCAGCCCACTCCTTGCAGGGAGGCAGTGTGCAAGCGAGCGAGTGCAGGAACTGGAGCAAATGAATGCTGGAATTGGCTGGTTGCTCCTGTCTGGTAGAAGCAGGCTCTGTGCGGGCCCACAGCAGTGTCCAAGCATGTTACACCACCAGTACTCTTTCAGCTCTGCTGTCTGGGGAAGTGCCACCCAGCTCAGCGGAGCATCAGGGTAGCAGCCCCTGCCCTCTTGGCACCTGGGTTCTTGTCCCACATCCAGGAAGAATCAGGTCACACCAACTGTATGAAAGGTGATGAATGCGGAAGACTTTATTGAGTGGTGATTGGCTCTTAGCAGAAAAGGAGGCTAGAAAGGGGATGGGAAAGTGATCTGTTCTTGAAACCCAGCCATCTCTAGCTGAGCCCCCTCTGAAGCCACACCATCTGAGTTTAGCCACATCCATCCATAGTTTCTGACACTCAGTTGCTTCTCTGCTTGCCGCTCAACCACTTGTACCCATGCCACTGAGCTGCTTGTGTTGCTCTGCCAGCTAAAATATTTTATGGGCACAGGATAGTGGCAGGGCAGGCCAAAAAAAGCAACATTTGGGCGGAAAAACGGGGTCATCTGTTTTCATTTAGGGCCGAGTTTCCAGGGTGGGGTTTGGCTGGGAGCCTAGCCCTTCTGTATCACCACTGTATACCAATAGGTACCCACCCACTTACCTATTAATATATTCCAAGATTCCGCCTTTGGAACTTAACTCTCCATCAGAAAAATTTACCTAATCCAGGACTTGGTAATATTCTGACAAAGTTTTGAACATTTTATGAGCATGAACCGTAGTAAGAAACACCTTTTTAGTTTTCACCCGGACAGTTTTCATGCATGTAGCTGACATTTCATGTAACAACACCTTTCCTGCTTGAGTCCATGCTGTGATAATTTTCATTCTGGTTCCTTTTTGTAAATGTCTATCGCAGGTTTAACTTTATTTCAGCTTACCGATTTGTAGTCTTTAATATAAAAGTTATATTGATATTTATCTACATCATAGGCTTTCTTTTCATTCCAAATGATTCTTCACATCTTTGATTGTTTGATCAGAAGCATCTCCCTTTGTGAACCCCTGAAAGGACAGCCTTTCAGATTCCCCTCAGAACTGCAGTTGTCCCTTGTACTCTTTCAGATAAGCAAGTTACTGTCTATATCAAAACAAAAATAAGATTAAGTATTTTATATGTGTTATGCAAAATTCTTGTACAGAAATACTTTCAATTTGTAGATATAAACACTCTAAGGTGTTTGATGTTTAGTATCATCAAGGGTTAAACTAAAAAGTTTAGTGGGACATTTTACAGAGGACTGCTTTCATTTCATTCCAAGTGCAAATTCGGGAGTTTCTCAAAACTACCTTCACATTCAATAATTTCCTAGAAAGACTCTCAGAACTCACTGGATGCATTTATTCTCACAGGTACTGATTTTTACAGGGAAAAGATGCATATTATAGTTAACCAAGGAAAAAAACAAATAAGACAGAGTCCAGTGAAGTACCAAATGTGGATCTCCTATTGTATTCTCCCAGTAGAGTGGGGCATGTTACATACCCAAGATTAGCATATGACTTAGACACAGGGAACTACCAATCAGGGAAACTCAACTGAGTGCTGGGATCCAGAGTAATGACTGGGGTTCCGTTACATAGCCTTAATTGGTTGGTTGATTCCTGTGTGGTTATTTAGTCTCTTGGTCCACTGGTTCCCTGTGACCTAAAGCCCCTCATTAAATTCCCTTGTTATTTTTTCTAACATAGGGAATACCACCTGCCATTTCCCATCTCTCAGAGCTGTGGCTAGTCACAATCCTAAATTACATTGTTTCAGTATCAACAGTTACCCAAAGTTTGCCCCCAAGCAAACAAAAAGACCCTCCTCAGGCGTGACCCTTCAAGATCCTAGTGATTACCTCCCAGATACTGATGACAAAGTCCCAACATCTATTTTTCAAAATGTTTTTTAAACCATCTAGTACTGAAAGGAAGCTTAACTTCTTTATAAGGATATACGATATACAGGCAAATATACAAAGTATTGTTATTGCTTTCCCTTACAATTCCTCTTGAGTCATAGTTCATTATGTACATAATAGTTTAGTAATTTATCATGTAAGACTTCGGACGGAGTTG